GGGTGTTTAACTTTGTGTGAATGGGGAGGGTTAGGGCCAGCAACCCTTGGGGGTTAGGGTTAAACTAAAAAGGTCCAAGTTTCAGTGATCTCAGTTGTTCGCATGATTGAACTTATCCTTTCCATCATTTGTGCTACTTCCAGGCAAAGGTCATGTTTGATGGTGAGCTTGCCAGCCTGGAAGCTATCCTTGCCACAGCCACAGTCCGTGTCCCCAAACCCATGAAAGTGTTGCATCACCCAGCAACAGAGGGCGCTGTGCTAGCCATGGAGTACCTGGACATGAAGGGTTTGAGCACCCATGCCGCCAAATTGGGTGAACAACTAGCCAGGTTGGTGTCTGGATATCATTTAGTATCAAACCTCTCAAATGTGACCCACCACTCCAGAACCAGGCTGAAAGCTTCCAAGCTGTTATCTTGAAAATGACACCACTGTGTACACATGAACAGTGCAAACTCTTGCACCGTTGGTAACTGGCAGGTGACAGGTAGCAATGGAGAGAGGCATGTTGGCCTTTAGTTGGCTAGCCATTCAAAGTGGCCCACGTTCAGCGTTGTTGATGATGAGTGCAAACTCCACAGCTTTCACAACCTGTATACCATCAAAGCTTTCTATGTACAAACTTTGCATAATGGGTCTTTTTGAAGGAGGAAAATTAAGAGGAATTCGCAAGTATGAAAACTACCAACTTCAGCCCATTTTGGGAATGGTGAGTCCGAAATATTTGGTGAACATTCACTTCATTGTCACCAATTTGTGCTCATTCAGATGAAAATTGGTCTCATGCATTCTCTGTTGTGTAAGCACGGACCAGTCGGCCATACAGCGCCATTGGCTAGTCTGTGCGGAGTCTGTAACATTACTAGTAGAGCTGCAAGTTGACAAAGGGGACAATTTCATTTGGTCACAGAGTGCAGAAGTTAGCTAGGCACAGTAAATATAAAATATACCAGTAAACAAAATCCATACTTTTTCCATGAGATGCTCAATGCATGGCTATCACCCATGAGGCCATGAATTCAAATTATTGCAACATTTAAACCTTATTTTATATTGAGTTGAAACTTCACATTTTTACCGACCGCGAGTGTCTTTATGTGTATGCTAAGTTTCAAAATAACTAGTTATTTGACAGCCAAGGTCTTGGGGGCTGAATTCCCCAAGCTGTGAGGATGGTCAAAAACCCCAGGGCCCAATTTCACGGGGATACCTACTGTTAAGCAAATATTTGCTAACCAAAGCACAAAAATTTGCTTAATGGTAAGCATAGTTCACAGTAAACATTTCACGATTGTTGTGCTCAGCTTGGCACAAAAATTGCAGGGGTGGGCCCATACAGATTTCCATTGTTACGTCACTGAATTAAGCAGTTTTTTCCTTACGACGTTAGCATGCCTTTTGCTCTACTCACTTGCTACAGTCTCCATGAAATAAGCAGAGCCACTGTTTGCATAAAACCACGTGCTTAGCAGTGCTGTGAAATTGGGTCCATGTTCTTTTATGACTAAGCAACTCCAAATCATTGGACCTAGGTGTCTGGAGATATTTGTCTTGTCTCTAGGGACATTATCTTTCCCTAGTACCATCAACTGAAATATCCATCTTTTTTGTTGATTCTGAGCAACTCTTTGAAGTTCCTTTCCCAACAACACATCCCAGGATGCATCTGCTCAACGAGGAACTGCTGAAACAGAAGCAGATTGGTGGAAGTCGAATAGGAGGGGGTTCGGATGTGGAGTGCGTCACCAGGTTTGGCTTTCCTGTCACCACCTGCTGCGGCATCATTCCTCAGGACAACGAGTGGTGTGACGATTGGGTGGTGAGTGGGTCTGTATTTTCTAAATGCTTCCTTGAGTATTTGCCTGATGTTTCTACCGGCAAAATGTTCCCTCAGGAGAATTAGCCAAATGTGCCTGAGATAAATTGCCCAGATTTGTTAATTCCTGAGAAAATTTGCTGAATGTCCCCAGGAGCATATGTCTAAAACTCCTCTGAAGAATTGGGAAAGCATTTTGAAGATGGATGTTGACAGGACACTACCTGCCTTTGTTGACATGTGCTTTGACACATGTTCATTCCTGGGCCAAAGATCTTTCTCCATTACTGTCATACTTAGTGCCTCAGGATTCATGACTGTTTTCTGAACTGAATTGAAAATTCAAACAACCTGCAGGTGTTCTACACCAGGAACCGTCTCAAGCACCAGCTGGACATGATAGAGCGCAACTGTAGAGACAGAGAGGCCAGGGAGTTGTGGCCTCAACTGGAGCGGAAGATCCCCGAGTTGTTCGAGGGTCTGGACATCAAGCCAGCCCTGCTCCATGGAGACCTGTGGGGTGGCAACGTGGCAGAGACATCCTCGGAACCAGGTGAGGCTTGGGCTGAGTATTATGACTGCGGCTTGAAATAACTTGCGCCCTATGATATGCTCTGGCTAGTGGCTTTAGTCATCGTGCAAGAGATAAAGAATGCTCAAAGCCACAGTCAATCGATTGATGCATGGCTTTAGCCGGTTGACAGGTGATCTGACCTCATTGAATGAGCAGGCACAGGTCCTGAAATTTCAGGGGATGCTGTTTAACCCTCAGATGCTTCTTCCCTTAATTCCAATTAGCTGAGTCAACAGGTTTTCTCACTAGATGTTGTGGGCAGCACTGATGTACAGGTGCTGAATATGTAAATTAACTTATGGGAGGCCATTATGGCCAAGTGTTCAGGGATGTGTTCAGACAGTTTTGTAACAAAGAAGGGAAGGTCACAGGGAACAGTTGAGTTTGGAAATTAAAGTTAAAAAACAGGTTAGGTGGAGTTTCCCAACTGGCTCCATCACCAGTTTTACAGTAGAAACTCCCAGGAAAAATCCCAAACAATTCATAGATTTAGACGTTGAAGCATAGTTTGCCATTTGGCTAGTTATAGATTCCAGAGTGAACTGACAATGTGTATCTGGAGATCTTCTTTGGCAAAGATACTCTCTTTGCAGTCATATTCGATCCAGCCAGTCTTTATGGACACTCGGAGTATGAGTTGGGCATCGCTGGAATGTTTGGAGGCTTCAACAGAAGTTTCTACACAGCCTACCACAAACTCATACCCAAGGCTTCAGGATTTGACAAGAGGCACGAACTCTACAAGCTGTTTCATTACCTGAACCACTGGTGAGTAACGAGAGTAAGATTGAGCGTGACTTGGGTGGAAGATGAGGGGGGGGAGACATTGACAAGGATGGAAATCCTGGATAAGGCAAATGGGAAGAGGTAGTTGTTTCAAAACGTGGCCAGTGTATTCACTGAGAGGACACTGAAGTGTTTCAGGTTTGGCAGGAAATGTCAAGGAAAAGTTGCAATCTCGTAAAAGGGAAAGGCTTCCTATCGCATCAGCTCTTGGAATAGCTGCTAGTATTGAATTGGCTTGTGTAAAATGGGTGCTTCTTTTGAATTCCACCCAACTCCTGTAACTGTATGGAAAATGAAATTCAGATAAGCACCAGTTAAGCCTGCCGTTCAAGCAGCCCTTGAATGATCTTGCCATTTTCTTATTAAAATCGGAATTGATTTGGTCATCCTCAAAGTTGTGGGCAGTGTACGTGTACATAGTAGATGGGCATTATAGAAATATGTAGGTAACTCTTTCTGTCATGTCTTTGCTGTTTTGTAGGAATCATTTTGGAGCTGGTTACAGGGGATCATCAATTTCCATTATGAGGTCCCTTATCAGGTGAAGGACACCAGGCGAGGCCATCTTTGCAGTGATCTTGATGAGTAGCGCCCTCTTGTGGTTTTGTCTGTGGAGAGTTGATTTTCATAGTGGAAGCAAATGAAGGTTAATATATTCTCTCACCATAGTGCAAAAAAAAGGCCCGTGGACTGGTTTGTATTCATCTTCAATTGTGCATAAAATGTTGCCTTGATTCTTGAAATGGAATTGAGCAGAATCTGCCTCTTTGGAGAAAATCAATGAATGTCAAATTCATGAGTAGACAAGATTTCACAAGTCAAAAGTAATGACTGTTGAAGTTAACTATTTTAATTCATCATGGGACGCCCAGTACAAAATTAGCGTCATGATGGGAGTTTAGGTGGCTGACCATGTATGATTGTATATGCAAAAGTCTTCTCTGTCTCATGACCAGAATAGGGCAGCTGCACCTGACACTTTTATTGTATGTAGGGTGCTTTTTAGTCTTTCGACACCCTATTGGCCATTTCAGACTTCCCCGCATTAAAACATGCGAAAGGATGGAACTTCAGTAAATTGCACAACCGGAAGGTAATTCATGGAAAAATTGGACGGCCTACTTTCAAATGTTGACTTACGCTCCTCGTGCAAGTAGACCATTATGGTGTAATATGTGCAATTTTTCTGTTGTCTGCAATACAACCTACATAAGCGGTGTTTGTATTTCCTTCAATACTTCATTGGACGAAACTTTGGTCAGACTGCATATCGCATTAGGTGTCTGCAGATTATGCCAAGGCAAGTGATAACTTGGTTATCATGTCGACATGAATACATGTATAACACTTGCGGTAATCTGATTAAATTGGATGTGGATGCCATGTTATTACCCTGCAATGTGTCTCCTTCAATTCAGTTAGGTTTTTTTGTGGATGGTTAAGCTCATTTAATCTCTCAGACCACTGCCTTTGATGCATTCGACATTTGGGTGGTACTCTGGGGAGGGGGTTGCCCGCCAAGGAGGTCTATTTTATTGGCATTTAGTATATGATACGGTTTGTATTCCTTTCCTAAGCGTTTTGACCTTGTGAAAGAGACCTCGACTTAAATGCCAAATATGTCCAGAACTAGATCTTGCGTTTAACAGCTAAGTGTCTGTCTTCGATTGTATACAAATGTTCAGTGTAACTACTCAGTTGCCAATAGACAATATGGGCACGCGCAGACAAGAGACGTATTTCAAGAATCCTTTGGACATGCTTGGTTTACCACGCTTCTTGTTTGAAGGACCAGTCCCTGGAAAATTCTTTTAGGCGATCGGGCTGAATAAGCTGAGCACTCTTCACCGGCCAATAGGGCCTATCTAGGAAAAGATCGGATTCAGTTTAACGCAGCAGCTATGAATTTGCACAAATTATGGGGTCCTGTACCAAAGTTCTGTGAGATTATCAAACCGAAATCGCCCGATCACCTCGCGTTTGTAACAAAAAACCCACTGAACTCTTCTTCCATTTTAGAATATAAGGGCGACATAGGATGGTGAAAATTGAAGGGCATAGAGTGGAACTCTTTTCAACATTAAAAAATGTAACATCGATTTTTGTTGAGGATGTTATAATCAGGAACAAAGCCTGGTATGTCTTTGTGTCCTGGTTGAATGAGGGGAAAATTTGTCAATGCAGTACCAAATCATTTCATTTATAGCAGAGACTCAAGGTCGAACGGCGGTGAGGTTGAGAATCTAAGAATGTACTTTTCGTAGGCCATTGCCCTCTGCGTTAATTCACAAGCACAAAAGCGGTGCAATCAGGTGTGTGCAAACCGAATTAATGCTTGTGTACGAACAAAGGTTAATGCGTTGTTTGGTGTGAAAAGAGTGGTTTCGAAATTACGAAGGGGGGAACATCTCGATGTGTTTATAGCCGGTGTGAGATGCGGGCATCTGTGCGCCGTATCACGGCGGGGTAGATTGACGAGGGTAGGTGGATTGAATATTGCCGGTTGAGAAGCAGTTGGTTCGGGGGCTTTGTGCTTGTTTTCTCACACTTAAGTATTTGTTTTTTGGTTGAATGGGTTCTCCAAAGTGATGCATCTATGCACGGTTAACTTGTAACCATTGGTGCATCTGTACTGATGATGAAATAAAACAAATCGAAGAAGTGACGAAAGACGCCGTTATGTCATTTTGTGCATTTTAGAAAGGTAGTTTTTACCCTTCCATTCAAGTCGGGGTTTCTATTGTGATGGCTCTTTCAATGTCCCTCCTCCACAGGGAATATTCCAAGTACATGTATACAGCCACGGAGGTGGGGCTTGTAGACTGTATGCATTAAATTTGCATACTCCGAAGAACTTGCTAATTAGCTTTGAGAATGCGTTTGCGACAAGTTGAGCTAAATAACAAATTACCTGTTTTCGATGATACGGACAATGCAATCTTCTTTCTCACGGTGTGGAGCTAAATGAAAGAAAAGCCACCGTTCTCAACAAGTCCGAAAAACGGGATGTATTCTACATATCTCACTGGCAAGTGGAAGGGGTATGGTATGATTCCTTAGAAAATAACCAAAGGCACCAATAGTCATTCATACGAACTGGAAAGGAATCTGCATTGGGGACCTTTTATTTACGGCGCGAGCCCCAAATTACAGAACAAGTTAAATTATAGATGTTTTCCCCTAATCGTGCGTGGTGATACATGTACATGTGATTCGGATAGTCCGATAGCTTTGTGCATGTTCACTGCACTGACTGATACATTGCGTGTAACCACGTCACCGAGAAGTTTGTTTACAATGTTTGTGTAGCGGGATCAGCACATACTAAGCTCGTTTTAATTAAGATTTGCGTAATCCTGTTTCACACGAATGGCTGGGTTTACGTTGAAAGTGGCCTCGGGAAACTGCGGGCCACAATCGAGAGTGAGCTTGGTGGATGTCTGCTTCAGCGGGGACTAAACTTTCCATGAATGGAATACTTGGAAACGTAGTGGTTGTACTGCTTACCTCTCGACACCTTCTATGCACTGAAGAAATTCATCCGTGATAAAAACTATGCTGACTTCCCGGAATGTTGAAAAAGGAGGTTTGTGTGAACATCAGTGCTGGGTCTCATTGTAATGATAGCCTCGTCCAGATAGCCAAAATTTCGCCATTTTAAAGACTTTCCACTGAAAGTGAAATAGGCTTACGTTTCAATAAAAAGAATACAAGCAAACGTAGATGACTATCTTCCAAACTGTTTATTAATGGTGCTACAAAGAAGGGAGGTTTTACAACCAGTGCGAAATCTCGTTTGGTCGCAGTCAAAAGGTTTTGTGTTTTCATTTGCTATTCATCGCATTTTCCCTTGCTCACTTCATTCTAAAATCCACCTCAGACTCTCAGAGTGCTGCGCAGTTCGGTACTGTCATCAGAATGTGCTATAGGGGCCAAGATAAATATTGCTCAAATCCCAACATGGTCATTATTTTTCGGCAAAACACCACATTTGTCTCCAGAGGCGTGAACGGTTATCGGATTGATATTGTCTAGTCCATCGACACGCGAGTAGGCGGGACGCGCACAAGTTATCAGGCTTGTGAGTGGTCGTTCAACCGCTTGATCATGCCCACCTCTTAAAAGCCGCTCTGTGATTGGTAGGATTTTGTCCACCAGCTGTCGAGCACTGGCTGTTTAGCATATCAACCAAACGACATGCGTCCGTGTGAATGGTGTATTCGTAGCGCTTTGACGACAGTACCCCAGAGAAATGGACAATGTGGATTACATCCAAGCAAATAATATGAAGCATGTCTGCACTGAATCGGTCTCAATATTGAGCATTTACGCCCGAGTGTTCACACAACATGCAAGGGAAAGTGTGTCACTGACCGGCCTTGGAGCTGTACAAAAGGAAAGATATTTTCAGATATTATCCATACCATCATCTGGGACAAAGATGCGAAATGTTTCTCATTCGTGAAAGCGGTAAGTTTATTTTTCAGAATTGTTCGCTGTACGAAAGGGGAAATTTACTGCGGTTTACTAGATCGGAGCGTCGTCTTCACAGGGGCAGGCAGAGTGAACTTGGTGGATCACCCCTGGCATGAGGGTGCGATTACACTGTGCAGTGATTTACGGAGTGCTTGTTAGCGTTTGGGGTTGGGCAACGGTTCATTGCCGGGCGTCGGGGTTTTGAAGTTCACTCGACGACTCGTGAGGGGGCCACTTTTGACCGCGCCGTCGCCGACCTGTCGGGGGCTGGAAGACTCCTTTACTTTAGCTGTAACGAAATTGAAACTGCTTGGCTCCATGAGAAAACACCGCGAGTCGCCGTGTTTAAATGAGAAAATTAGGTATTAACATCAGTAACACGCACCGGTGGAAAACGAAATTGTTCGTAATTTCAATTTTACCCATTCTTTGCATTGCAATACATCTTTTAAGTATACAAGGCAAGAGTTCAAAATTTGATTCTAATTCTATTCGTAATTACTAAATCAGTCAATCAAGGGACCAAATTGTTTCTTACTTGTGAGTAATTGAATTCAATTTAAAAGGTATAAAAACACAAGATTTGATTTTTAGGGTTTAATTTATGGTTTGAGGAGACAGTAAAATTTTGTTTACAATAGGTGTACAACAAAGTATACACGAACTTGGCTTTTTCAATAGCTGAAGTATTTTAACCCTTGATAACCTTCAACTTTCAGTTTAACCGGAAACGGGGCAAAGAACATCATGCTAAAGTTTGTCAGACAAGGAGAGTCGGGCCGCGGATCCAGTGACGAATGGACCGCGGTGTCTGTCGCAGCGGTTCCGGAACGCAAAGGTAAAGAAAAACTCCAATATTTCACCCTTTGATTTGTGAGGCATTCAAGGTGGCTTATGAAGACAAATATTTACAGGCAGATGGCGTGGTAGAAATATTAAACCGAAGTGCAAACAGTCTTATTTTTTTCCATGCGCAGGCGGTGGTGCGTTTGCAGAGTATATGGTTTGACCTTTTGTGAAGTGACTTTTTACCCTCGTGCACGCTGTTAATGAACTTTGGCACAGTTCTCAGTGGAAAGGACGATGCAAGAATTACTTCGCGGTGACTCGTTATAATGTACATGTACTTGTAGATATGTGATAAATATTACAGATAGTTCGCAGTAGAGACATATTTCAAATCTCTGCCTTTCTATTGCTCAATCACTATACGTGAATTGGAAAGTGGTAAGTGGTCAAGACTGGTGTTGTGTGTAACAGAAATTTCTCCAGAGGATATGGTGGGAATTCCAGACAGTACCACGGGAGTTTTTGGTACTTTTCCCCGGCTTCCTCAGGTGCATAGCCCCATTACGTGCTCTTTTTGGGCTGCTTGAATTTATGGTAGAGGTAGTCTCCAAGGCTTTACTCTGCTGGGCCCTTTTTGCCATGCCTGCCGATCTGGGTTTGATAACCTCTGGGTTGATATGGTGGTGCCTAGCTGGAAATACTCTGAATTGCTGTGCGCGCGAGGTGACGTGGGCAGCGCTAAGGTGGTGGAGACATTATTCTCGACGGGCAGAAGGGAAGATAACGTGGGGTGATCAGTGATTGAAAAGAGGTCTCAACATGTGTGCTTTTCATGTCGGCGGGGTCCAGGCAATAAAAAACCCCAACCCCGTCACTCCACGAAGGTCGCAAGCGGTGTATGTGTGATAGCTCCATGGCGAAACCATAGAGAAACTTTGTACTGTACTTTTCTCTATGGTGAAACCTTGTGAAGAGAAGTGGGCCACAAAAGGTGAATTTATAATACCCGCATCTCGGGTGTATTACGGAAGTGGGTTTTAGTTCACATGATTTGTTTTGGAGGACACATGATGCCGCCCATGTCTGCGTTCTCATGCAACCCAAGAAATGAACCGTGGGTCATGCGGTAGGGGTCTTTCGTGGGCCCTAGATTGGTGAAAGAAGTGAGATGAGAATTTCCAGTTGCTGTTTCGTGGAGGTTGCTAGAACAGTGTAAAATGTAACTGTTGTCGGGCCATTGAATTAAAAAAAGAAAAGAAACAAGAAAAAATTTTTTTTGAATCCTCTGCTCCTATTTATCCTTTGATAAGAGTGTTACACCAACGCCCTTAAAGTCTTTTCTGTTGTGTAAATGCAGCCCACAGTTATTATCCACGTTTGTCGAAAACCCCTTGCGTATTTAAAGCTGTTATAGAGGTTTCTTTTCCTCGTGCGGTCACCTGCCACTCTATTTCCTCCACGGCATATTTCATCCCCTCTGCAGTGCCTCATTCATCTTCTTTGCCTGTCCGCAACCCAGAGCAGCCCCGACCGCAGCTGGGCCCCGCCATCGACAAATCTTCCCCAATCAAAAAGTTAGACCCGTGGTCGGGGGATTGTTTTTATCGGGACACCTCCGGAAAAAAGTCGAGTGTCGAGATGTCGCGACCCCGATAATCCCGATCATCAATCAACATTTAGCTTATTTGGATTTGCCGCATGATGTTTGGAGCGATTCGGCGAGGGTTGGGCTCCAATTTTGGGGCCATTTCTTTGTAAACCAACAACAGAAACTACACCGTACGTGGTCGCACGTCGCTCTAATGAACCTGCGACGTGTAATTTATCTTAATGCCATCAAACATGATCCATTTACCCGATTCTTGGATCCTTCAAGCAAGGTGAAGTAAATGTTTGACGTTGAGCCGTAGCTGAAAAAAAATGCTCTCGCAGATACATCATGTGAATTCAAGCGAATTTTCAAATGAATTGTATGGGGGAACATGTATACCACTTCTCTTGTCTCACATTGTAATCACTATCTTCCCTCTTTTCACCATTTCCAAAATTAAGCTGCAATTCATGTACTTCACAGTTCTACTTTTTTAGTTTCAACATTCTCCTTGGATTCAATGATCCGTGAAATGCATATTGCAAACAACAACCCCGTCGCTCTGTCTAATTTTCATTGCACGTTACCCCGTTCGCATGCTTTTCGCGAATTCCAGCATTCCTGCCGAGTCAAAAGGTTAAAAAGCTCGGAAGTGATCCCGCCTTAAAAAAAATCCCCACCACTCCGGTGAGCGAGAGAAGCCCGGGGTGAAATCCCATCAGTAAAATGGAGCCGACACGAGGTGGCTAATGAGCGGTCGAAAACCGACCCCGTGCGTGAATCATTCATTGCCTCCAGGTAAAACACCGTAAAAGATGAGTACCAACGAAAACCACCAAATTTATCAAGTTTTGTGGGTAAGGTTTTTTATTTGCAATTTGTTGGTTGTTGAAGCGCGGCGAAGTTTGCTGGGCCATCCTAACTCTGGTGCCTACTTTGGCCAACGTCCTATGGTCCTATTAATTATGCAACATACGATGTCCCCCTTTCAGTATAATATACTATAGCTATATTATGGCTTTATGCATAATAAAGCTCATTCTGTGTGACTTTTTTCTGCCATGATTGATGTAATCATTCGGTTTCAGATGTATTTAGAAAGGAAATGGGGTATTTTTTCAGAGTGGGAAATGGATTGGGCAATATACAGGGGTCTTCCCAAAATAATGACGGAGTTGCTTCCTGGATTCCTGGATAGTTATTCATGACAAATTAGATTTTATTCTCATGCGAATAAAATAGTCAGTTTCCCAATGCACACTCAGTTTGGACAAAACAACCCACCGCATATTCTTGTGATCGGGATTCGACATTACCCAAACATCCTCCCTGGCGAAGGCAGCATATGATATACACAGACCACTCGCGCCAATTAACTGTTCCAGCGTGTGGCGATTAGCAAGTACGTTTACACTAAAAAGCTGCGCTTGGATAATGCCGTGCCTCGAATCCGCGTCATTTGGGAGGCCCAAGCGGCGACATCAGTCGGTTTGGGTACCCAGTGTCAGTTGCTTAAGAAAACACGCCCGGGAGGTGAATGATTTTGACCCCTGCCTAATCCACACACCCTCCTTGAACAGTGAGGAGATTGTTCTCGACAGACTAGCCCTGCGTCATTGCTTCGGTAGACAAAGTATAATATGACCGAATTTCTGAAGTTGGTTTCTTCACACCATCCGCCCGATGGGAGATTGGTTTCTAGAAGAAGATCAAAACAACCCGCGAGAATGATCCTTCCATTTCTCAGCTAAAATCCCTTTCCTCTCTTTTTTGTACCCTTTCCCCACCATCATACTTCTTTTCAGGATCGTTCTCATGTTTACCCTTTACAGACTCAGATTGTAATCCTATCGTCTGGAAGCCTCAAACTTAGAGGCATCTTTGAGTGGTTTTTAACCTCTCTTTTGTGGCAGTACTTCCGGACGTTGAGGTTCCCGACTGAACCTATTAATTTTGCCAATTTTCATCTGTCGTGTGCTCGTTATAACCGAACTGCCTGCCTGGAGCAAGGGTCTATAACGGGAACAAATATTGCCCACTTATCGTGTAAATCAGGTCCACAGGTGTACTCCACTTTGACCCGGCCAACCCCTGTGGATAACCTCAAGCTCCCTCACCATCATTCTGTGTGTCGGGACTCAAGGGAAAGACTTTGTACTGAAACAGGGTTCGATGACAATTTAGACTCTCCAAAGGGCGTGCAACACATGGTCATGCGGGTGTAGATTTAATTCCCCATGCAATGTTTCGTCCAGGATTGAAATATTTGCCTTTGGGCCTGTTTCTTGCGGGCCAAGGTTGAAAAAACTACCGATCCCCTCCCAGAGAAAATTCGAATCTAACGCCATGCTTCCATATCCACTGCACCCATCTTTTTGGAAGGAAAGATTTATGTACAAAATTTGGGGACTTGTAAATTTTGAACAAACAAAAATTGTTGGTCCAAATGGTTTTGCTTTTGGCCGGACGTGACATTGCCCCAATTAAAATTGTTAATAGGAAATAGTTTATGCCGTACGTTAAAAACTGTTTCCTGTCAAGGTTTTCTATTGGGAGATTTAGTAGTTTAGTTTAGTTCTTGCTCTAGAAATTCAAGAAGCCATGAAATAGATTTTTCAAGGAAAGTTAGTCAGTGTGGTTAATACGGTAAGGGATTGAAACGGAAATCGACCTGAAGTGACTTCTCTTGCAAGTTCCACAAAACGTTTCGCAACCTGTCTGAGCTTTTAGGAGGATAATTTGCCGTAAACGTGGCCTGAGAACATGTTAAATGCCGGATGAGGAAGTGCGCTGAGCAGAGGATCGGACAAAGAGCTAAGGTTGTACCGGACAAAGTGACTAGTCCACCGACTAATACGCTTCGCAACACATGGTTGGGTCAATTGATCGATGACATTGTATAATACAAGGAAATGTGGGTTGTGGGCCCAAGGTTCGGATTTTGGTTAAATCCTTGTACGCCGACTAAAAGGTTATGACTTGATCAAACTAAACCAGTCCTATACCCGGTTGAGACCATATACAAAACTTCAAGGAAAGTGTAATGTGTGGCTGACCTGACGTTTGCTGACCTTTTTTCTTCGTCTGTTGCTTGTACATTCACACCTCTGACATAGAATGGTTATTTATTGTTTCTTTTTTCGGCCTGGTGGTCAACACACGTCAAGAAGAAATCTAAGAGATGTTCCCAAGGTTTAGTTGTTCTACACCAGAATAATACTGCATGCGTGATCTAATTAATATGTCGTAAGTACCGCGTTTCTTAGTTCCGTATACGGCTTCAGCCGAAATACTGCTCCAGCCCTGCACAGCCTTAAGAACACAAAATATGACAAACGGAAGCAAGCAAGGATTTCTGATGTACATTCTTTGCAGCTCCAGGATATTGTAAAATTAATGTACAAGCATGCTTCACACTTCACAAGCAGCATAGCGACTCTGGAAGTCCCGCATATTTC